AAGTTGCATCTGGGCCCCGGACAAGTCTGCCAGGTAGACACCCAGATCTCAGAAGGCTCATGGAGGGAAAGGAGGGACCATTCCAGGAAGCCTTCCTGGAAAAAAGGGGACAACAGGTGGATGTGAACTGGGGCAAAATCCGGGTCGGCCAGAATGAGCCTTACTTTGGGAAGTGGGTGAGGATGAGGGTCCTCTTCTCAGGCACCAGCTTGTCCTTTTCCACCCGGAATTTCTCTAGCAGCTGCCGCCGGGTCACAGTGAAGATGGAGCGGAGAAGGCTTCGCCCAAAGATGTGAGTGGTCTCGTAGCGGGGGAGGCTATCACAGCTCTGGGGCACGTGGCAGTAGCAGAGCCATCTGGAGCCAGTGGGGAGGTGGGAAGTGAGAATGGAGACGTTGAACCTAGGCTGGGCCTACAAGCCTCTCCTCATGCTGCCCTTGGCTGGGCCTACCTGGTATAATTGACCTTGTAGGTAGCCACGTCCTCGGCCTGAGACCGCTGCCGAAATTGGGCAGGCGTCTCAAGTTTCCAGTAGTTAAGGCAGAGCAGGAACATCTTTGAGAGCTCAAACATCGTCTGCCGCTCCCGAGGGGCGAGGTGACTAAACTTGTATTGCACAAAGTTCAGCACACCCTGAGAAGGGGCGGGCAGGGGACAGAACCAGGAAGGAGACGTGAGCAGCAAGCAGGGGCTTCTAATCCAAACACTGGTGCTTCCCGAGGGCAGGGTAAAGCTCTCCTCTCATTCTGGGGCTCCCGGTGAAGAAAAACTCTGGCCCACTCCCACCCCCATGTCCACCTGAAGCACAAAACATCCTCTCTTCTCTGAACTTCTCCCTTATTCTCAACTTGACAGGATGGGGAACACAGCCTCCTCAGTCCTCCAAGATGCCCCCAATTCTCTCACCACCTTCCTCAATCCCACCTGTTCAATATTAGGCTTCTCAAACGGGGGACTGCCCAGGGAGCCCTCCACCACTGGCCGGGTCATCTGCAGGATGCATTTCCGCAGAAGCTGGAGGAAGAGGAAGAAGGAGGGGCAGAGGTCAGCAGAGCTCAGAGCTGCCGACTCCCTAGCCTTGTCTACCGTGCTCATCCACACTCACTTGGACAAAGCTCACCTTGAAGAGGTAGAAATACACCTGCTTAGTGTCTGTGTCCTCCTCCTTATGAACGGACATGAATAGGTTCTCCACGTCCACCACCATACCCAGTAGCCGGTTAATCTCCTCCTCTGACACATTCTCCAGGTGGGACACGTGGTCAGCTGCAAGGACAGGTGGTAGGGTTGGGAAGAATGGACAGATCACCAGAGCTTCCTGTCCCTCTTCACCACCAGGCAATTTACACCCTCGGTCCCTCCAACCAGCGTGACCAGCAATGAAACTGACTGCTCCTACATCAGTCCTTGGGTGGCCACTGTCTCTTCAGGGCTGGCAAATTTCCTTTCGCTTCCCTTGGGGGATACATGTTCCCAACTCAATCCTTCCTTAGGAGGTATTTTTGGTTCCACAAATGAAGCTCTGTGGCACTTAAATCATCCTGTCCAAGCAGGACCCAGCCTGACCCCGCCCTAGCTCCAAGGGCACTACCTGCCTTACCCAAGGGGTGCTCACAGCTGCGACATAGCTCGCTCAGGTTGGCAGCTGGCTGCTGTAGGTCCATGCGGGGTGCAGTGGGGGGCTTGGGGTTTTTCCAGCCATTACACTTGCAGGTTTCATTGGCCTGGAGGCAGAAGAATCAGTCAGTAACCCTGTAACCGGGAAGGGGGTGCAGATCCCCAGCCAGAGATTTGCCCCTATTCCCACCCGGGCCCTGGGATGCCCCAGGCCCCGCCCCCTCTCACCCCAGGCCCCGCCCCCACCTTGCAAGCCGAGAAGACCCCTAGCTTCTCAAGCTTCTTGGCGCGCGGCAGCCCCCGGACTTGCGCCTTCCTCTGGCTGGCGCGCTGCTGCTGGCTCAGGCCAGGCCGAGCCGGATCCCCTCCGCTCCCGGTCCCCCCACTTCCTACCCCGGGAGCCCCAGTCCCTGTGCTCCCGGCTGGGGCTGCAGCTGGGGCGGGGGCTGGTGCCGGAGTGGGAGCCGGAGTCGGGGCTGAAGCCGGGCTGGGGGCAGGAGTCGGAGTTGGGGCAGGGGCTGGAGACTGAAGGGGACGGGACTGCGTGGCCGGCGCCGGGGTTGAGGCCTGGGTAGGTTCCGCCATGGCCTCCCCCGCAGCGGAGCGGCGCGGCGCTCCCAGCCCTAGGGCCGCATGGGCAACCGGCGCACAGTGCGCAGGCGTCGCTGCGCCGGGGCATGACGGGAATTGTAGTCTTTCACTGCCGCTCCCTTTGCCTCCGGCTTCCAGACTTTTCTGTCTTGTCTCTTGGTCCCAGACAAGCGAGTGAAGCCTGAGCCATTACCCTAGATTGGCTCCTCCTCACTTCATTCTCTCTTGGAGGCTTCTGGGACAGTGGAGATTGCTGTTTTCTTGGGGACTTGGAGAAGCATCTGAGAAAACAGGCTTCAGCTGAGGGGAATTGTAGATTCTGCCCACGAGGGTGCAAGTGCAGCTCTGGGGCCTGGAGTTGTGATGGCTTCCTGGCACATCCCCTCCTGCCCCAACCCTGGCCCTGGCCTGCACTGCGGACACAGACTTGCCCCTATGATGGAGATTAAAACGCAGCAGTTACCTTTCTGAACCTGTGAAGTTGCAAGGGTGGTGTTGTCTTTGGGATACTTCCACTCTACTCTTTGGTGGACTTTTCTGTATATACGTGATACTTCAGCAATAAAGGATTATTATAAAATCACTGAGCGCCAGGGGTATGGCCATGATCACGAGGGATACTGAGACGGGGATGAGGTAGAAGTAAAGGAGGGCACATCCCAGTGTTTGTGAATGGCTCTCCCCGTAACCCCGTGGGCACCTCGAGGGCAGGGCCCACCTCTTCACAGTTTTGTCCCGGAACCCAGCCCTGAGCCTGCCACAGAAGGCCCAGGGTCCGATGAATGCAGGAAACTGGGAAGTCGCGTTCATCTCCCAAGCCCCATCTGTCATCACAGGATTTGTGCGCGGCCAGAAAAAGGGGTTTCGGAGAATGTAAGACCCCATGGTCACATCCCGTTGGCTCTGTCCCAGGGGACAATCCTTGTCCTCGGGACAGATTCTTGGAAGGGCAAGAGCGCAGCGGCTCAATCTCGTCTTCCGCCCGGTGCTTGCGAGCGCTCCAGGGTCCGGATCGCACGTCCGGCGTCGTTCAGCGTACGTAGGCGGGTCACAGCCCAGAGCCGTGGGACCCTGTGACCGAAGCGGGGAAGGGCCTGAGAGTGGGGCAGGAGTCAGGATGAAAGCAGCAGCGGTGCCCCATGGTGGCTGACCACCTGGCCTGTGGAAGCAGGATTCGCGTGGCTGACCCCAAACTGCTGAAGCGGGCCGGCCCGGGGTCACTGAGGGAGCCGGGCTGCGCGAGTGCCTCCCCGGATGTGCGCGCCGCTGCCCGCGTGCCTCGCGCCACTGCCCTTGGATAGCAGTTGCTCACTCGGATGCAGCGCGTCGGTAGCGGTCTCCCCAGCAGGAGCCGCGTGGCATCCCCCCGTCCCAGCGCAGCCCCCGCTGAACAGAACCAGGTGGCCACGCTACCGGTACGGCTGCTCAGGGACGATTCGGCAGCTTCGCAGAACAACTTCCCCGTGGAGGATGGCTTCCAGGTGAAGGTGGATACCTACGGCTTCACTCCCGACGAGCTGCTGGTGCAAGTGGACGGCCAATGTCTGATGGTGACGGGCAAGCGGCAACTGGAGGGCTGCAGCCCGGACGGGGCCGGCTACCGCGTAGCGCACAGGGTGCACCGGCAGATGCAACTACCACCGGACCTGGATCCAGCCGCCATGACCTGCAGCCTGACTCCCTCGGGCCAGCTGTGCGTCCGAGGCCAGTGCCGGGCGCTGCCTCCCCCTGAGGCCCAAACAGGGCCATCCCTGAGACTCCGGGGCCGTGGCTCTAATAAGGGTCAACCTAGCCTGACCCGGTAAACAACCCTGGTGTGCAGCAGCAGTCTTGGCGTTCCGTGGTCTTTTCTTGGGGTTGGGGTCAGAGGTCGAGGCATAATGGAGGGAAAGAGGGCTCGGGGAGGCAGGAAAGGCACTTTAAGGTGGTAGTCCACCAAGAATCGGGCCTCTGTGGTCCTGGGAGAAGCTGGGGGCCCGCTCAGTGTGGCCCACTCAGCTTAGCTCACTGCCTGGAGCAGTAGCTCCAGCAGGGAGCAGTAGAGGTCCAGGAGGCTCCACAACCAGCAGAGGGCCCTGACAGACCAGGGACCAGATGGCTTGGACCTGGTGTGGTCTTGGCCTTCTAAACAACACAAGGTTTCAGAGGTCACCTGCGCGGAGGGTGAGAGGACCGAGTCCTTCACAAGCCTGGTCCAGACTAACCGAAAAACCCCAAAGAGGTTGTTTCTGGTGTTTCAGAGACCAACTATTTTCAAATACAAACTGTACATCACCCCAGTAGAATCTGGAGGGAGTCGGGGAGAGGCAAATGCGGGCCCCTCAACTTCAAACTTGGTGAGATTCAGCCCCAGGTCACTCTCACCCTACCCTACCCCTTAGAGCTGGTAGAGCAAGGGCCTATTTCTCTTGGTTACCATCACCACCAGCATCCCTTCACTTTTGTGGGGTGGGGGGTGGGGGAGTGAGGTTAGTTCAAGTAAGCTAGAGCAGATGCGGTCTGATAAACTGCCAGAGAGACAAGGAAGACAAGTGGGAGGTCGATCGATCGGCTGACTATATTGACAAGATACTGATTGGTTACATGTTGAAGAAAACATACAATACAAAATACAGAAAAAGTTGGTTCCATCCCCTCCCACCCCCCCCCTTACCCACCCACCCCCAAATACTCATCATCGTGATTTGGTCAGAACAGGGCTCAGAGCCAGAGGTCAGGGTGACGGAGGGGGAGGGGGGTTATGGGGAATGGGTTGGTGGCTGTCACAATAATGCTGTGGTAATGCTGTGGTTTCTCTCCCAGCTGTGCGTCAGGGGGTGGGGGGGGGGGGGGCTGCAGCCTGATGACAGCCAGCTGAGGGAAGAGCTGCTTCTCCCTTCCCTCGACCCTTAGGGCCACCACCCAGAACCAAACCCACTCCAAACACAGTAAGGATATGGATGCTCTTGCTGAGTCTGCTAATCAGCAAGAGGGAAAGAAGGGTAACTGCTCCAACCCCCGCCTCCCCACATACAAGGGTGGGGGGGAACAGGGGCACGTGGCTACTACCAGCAGAGGAAGAGTGGGAGAGCAGTAGAAAGGGCTGGAAGTGGGAAGAGCAGAAGATCATATATATTAAAAAAGTGACTTAAGACTTAAAATTGAATTAGTATTTGTACAGAAAGGTGCAGGTGGAATAACTCACTCCGGCCTATGATCAAAATTCTATGGAGAAATCATGGCGGACCCCTCCCCCTGCCCCCCCAGTGGTAGCCCGAGTCGTTAAGTGCGATTGGTTAGAGTGGATTCCAGTCGGGTCGGTCAGGCGGAGGAGGTGGGGGCGGCGGGCAGGCAAGGGGGGCTCAGTTGCTGCAGCACTGGCTCCGGCTGGCTGGGTTGTTCTCCTGGAGGTCCACGCCTCGGTTCCGGCCTGGAGCACCAGCTGCATTCTGGGGCTCGTTCTTGGGAAGCTTCTTAGCTGTTTGGAAGAGGAGGGGAAATATGCATTTGTGGGGCTACCCCAATACTCTTCCAAGTATGCGTGAGTGGAAGCTGGCCTTTGTACCACCCAATCTGGGATAACCCATGGGGGAGCTTCACTTCTTTGCGCCAGGTGCATGCATTCTGAGTGTTTCAAGAAACTGAGGCACAGAGGGTGTCTGGGTGGCTCAGTCGGTAAAGTGTCCCAACTTCGGCTCAGGTCATGATCTCACCATTTGAGTTCGAGCCCCACATCGGGCTCTGTGCTGACAGCTCGGAGCCTGGAGCCTGCTTTGGATTCTGTGTCTCCCTCTCTCTCTGCCTCTCTCTCTCTCTCTCTCTCTCTCTCAAAAAAAAACATTAAAAAAAACAAACCTGAGGCCAAGAGAGGTTAAATAACTTGCCCCAGGACCACAGAGTTAAATGATAAAACAAGGATTCAAACCCGGGCAGGATGACTCACTACAGAGCCAGATCAGCCTAAAGATCCTAAGAAGTGGGTAGGGGGATGGTGATGTAGGGTTTTCAGTGGGTGGCAATCTAAAGGGTCAGAAAGTGAAATGTTGAGACTTTGGCCCAGGCTGTAGAAACTTCCGGGGTGAACTCTCTATATCTGACAGTCAGATAAAGTGACCCCACAGACTTACCACATACTACAAAACAGCAGCCAGGTGATAGGATAGGGCCCTGGTCAGGGGAGGGGAGGGAAGGAGAGCAACTCACCTATTGCCATGAAAATTTCATTCACGTTCATCGCAGTCTTTGCTGATGTCTCCATGAACAGCAGACTGTTGTCTTCCGCATAGGCTTGTGCTTCCTGGTTTAGATGGAGGTGAGAAAGTGGGTAGGAGGGAAATGATGACAGTTGGCAGGGGCCAGGGCCCAGGATAAAAATCTTCCCTCCTCACAGTCGCCTTATACACAATAGAGACAATGCAGGGATTTTTCAGTCCCGAGGCTCTCCTGCTCTGGGTCCCCCCCAAATCTGCACCACACCCAAGGCCCCCACTTCACATACAGCACCTCTCAGTTCACGAACATTGGCAGATGTTTTACTCAGGTTTTCCTAAGTCCATTCTGCCTTTTGCCCTTCAAAATCACTAAGCGAAAAAAATACTTCTAGAAAGTTATCCTACAAATGCACATGCACATTTGGAAAAAATACAAAAGCATGTGGATGTTGACCGCAGTGCTGCTTCCAGTCGTTTGCTATTACAAACAACCTCCAAGTCCATTGGTTAAGGGCCTGGTAAAAAATACACAGTATTATGGGGCACACCCCCATCGATGTAAAGAAAGGGATTCATTCGCATGGGTATATTTTTAGAAAAATAAGAAACTGTGATGAACTTGGGGGAAGGGAGACTGAGTGTCTGGGTTGGAGATTTAAATTTCATTCCATGTATCTTCCTGTACTGCGTAAATTTTACTCGTGCGTGTTTTATGTGGATAAAAAGTAATTCTTTTTCAGTAAGTTTCATTGAAAAGTCAGTTTACACAAAAAATAAGCGGAAGCTTCAGCTATCCTTATGCATACACACGCCACCAGCCGATGACAAAGAACAAGGAGAAGCAGAGAAGTCCTTCAGGCCCACATTCAAGTCACGAGAGGACAGCAGATGAAAGCGCCCCGGCCTCCCCACTTGGCCCTCCGCACAGCCCCTGAGCAGCCGAGGCTGAGCCAAGCGTGGAGCCGGCTTACTCCTCCCCACCAAGTCCTGTCCTGCCCCCACCTGGAACTCCACGGCTCTCTTGCTGGCCAGGTCCGCCTTGTTCCCTGCAAGTGCGATGACGATGTTGGGGCTAGCCTGCCTCTGTAGCTCCTTCACCCAGTTCTTGGCCCGTGCAAATGTATCCTGGGGAGACAAGGCCAGAATGTCAGAGAGACAGAGGCGGCATTCTGCCCAGGGCCACTCACTTAGGGAAGCTCGAGCTGGCAGAGCCCAAGTGTCTAAGATGCTACCGCCCTGGAGATTCTGGTGAGACACCCCCAAACGACAGAGGAAATCTGCCCACACCCCATCCAGGAACAAAGTGTTGAGAAGTAAGGGGAAATCTTTACTGTGTTGGTGATGTCATAGACCACGATGGCAGCTTGGGCCCCCCGATAGTACATGGGGGCCAGGCTGTGATACCGCTCCTGTCCAGCTGTGTCCCAGATCTCAAATTTGACTGTTGTGTCGTCCAAACAGACCGTCTGTGTGAGGAAGGCCGCTGTAAGAGGGAAGGTGGTGTTATAAGGCAAGAAGGAGCTCAAGAAGCCACCCCCACATATCTCCCCAGTACGGCATGTGGACTCTTTGCTGAGATGGGCCCAGAAAAGCCCCCAGCCCAGCGGCTGAAGCAGGGTAGGTGGTGTTTGTATTTTTCTGCCATGTGTCAAGGGGGCTGGGGGTTGCACAGGCCTTACAGACCCACACTAGGCAAGGGCAGAAGGGATATCTGCCCGCACCTGAACCGTTTTAGGAGCACCTCCGAGGAGGACTAGCAAGGGGCAGGAGAGGGAAAAGCCCAGGGGAAAATGGACTCCCAAGCACAGAAGGGTGGGCCCACCACTTCCCCCATCCCCCCCCCCCTCCCCTCACGGGGACAGTCAGGCTGGAAGCCTCCATAGTCCCTCAGTTTGCTCTGGCCCAGGGGTGTTACTGGCCTTCGGTTTCCTGAGGACACTCACACACTTAGCTACACTGGGGCCGCCTGAAAGTACACACTGTTCCACTGCCAGGCGGAGGCTGGGTGGCTGGCTTCCTGGCTGCCCCTGCCACCTCCAGGCATGCTGGCTAGCCTCCACCCCCAGCTTTGACCTTGACCCATTCCTGATTGGCCACCCTGTGGTTCGACCTTCAGGGAACACAGTGACCCTATCTTTGGTCTGAGGAGACAAGGGAGCATGTGGTGCTTGTGCACATGCTTCAGGAGGAGTCCCAGAGCCGGGACAGGCAGGTGGGAGTCCCCTCCCCACTGGGAACCAGGGGAGGATCCCAGAGAGCTCAGAGTGGAAGCCGGCTCCCTGCTCTGCCCTCCCCCCACACCCCTGAGGGCCCAGGGTGGGGAAAACTGCCTCACTTCCCTGTCTCCAGCTCCTGACTCGGGTGCTGAGGAGGCAGCAAAGGATTGCTGACTCGGCCCGTTTAGTTTCCAGCTGCCTGGAAACCTCCTACCAAGAGGGCAGAGAAAGGGTGACTCAAGCCCAACGTCCGCCCTGGCCCCTAAGGTTTGTATAGGACACTGAGGCAGGGAACTGAGCCCACACCCTCACGGGCTACACGCTGACCACCAGGAAATCAATGATAGGCTCTGAGCTCGAGGGTAAAGGTCAACTTCAGAAACGCTGGCCCGCTCACCAGGCCATTTCCCCATTCTGCAAAGTAGGAGAGGCCAGGACAGACGCACTGCCTGGTACGGTCAGAAGGACCCTCAGAGATCCAGACCGAGCCTCTCCCTTCCAGAGGCCGGGTCAGTGGAAGGCCCTTAGCCAAGGCCGTGCAACAGTACAGTGGCATAATCGGGAGGAGAAGCCAGTTTTGGACTCCCAGCTAAGTAAGTCTTACTGGGTGGCGGTGGGGACTCCGGCATGGAGGCCAGCTGTTGGATTTGATTCCAGGGCCCAGGTGAGGAAGAGGTGCTGCCGCCGCAGGCACATTTAGTCCCTCTGGGCAGGCGGCTCCCTTCTCAACGCCAAGGCATTTCTTTGGCATTCCTGAGGCTGCCCCACTCCCTTGTGCCCACTCACCTCCAATGGTGCTCTCCTGGTACTCATGGAACTGTCCCTTGACAAAGCGGAGCACGAGGCTGGATTTGCCCACTGCAGACTCCCCGAGCAGGACCAGCTTAAACTGACAGATCTTGTTCCCAGCGGCTGGTCCGTTGGGTCGCGCTGCACCTCCCCGACCCGCCATGGCCCGTCCTGCTGTAGTGGTACCAGTGAGCGTGGGGCGGGGGCCGGTGCTGCGCGAAGAGGCACTTAGTGAGGACGGGGGACCTCCAACTGCAAGAGAGATCAGCAGTACTGGTCAGGCCAGAGACTGTCGCACAGCAAGGCCTTCTTAAATCACTCTTAAATCACAGGTCTCTCCCGCTGCCCTCCCTGAGGACCTAAATCCTCCCATCCTGCCAACCCCCTGGCCCCCACCTCCCAGAAGTTAGGAGAAGAGCCCGAACTAGGATGTACTACACATCTATTTGCCCTACAATCATCTCAGCAGTGAAAAGTGGTCTCCCAACTCTAGGTTCATGGTTCTGAGCAAACCTATTACTTCCCAATCCCAAGTATCACGTACACACAGGAGAACAATGGGCATATGGCAGCCTGGTGACAGTTAAGTCAACAGGCTCCTTGGAGTACCAAAAAAAATCACGCGGGAAGACGCCAGGATCCAGATGAACAAACAACGAACCTGTGGTCCCGTAGCTAAGATCACAGCGCACCTCGGTGCAAAGCCAGAGTGGATGGTGAGGCTGCCCAGGGCACAGGGCGTCCAGATAGAAAGCTCATCAGACAAGGTGCTTGGCCAACCTTGTGGGCACTCAGGGACCAGGGACTGGCCAGTGCAAGTTGTATTCAAAATAGCCATTTTGTCCTGCTGTCTCTAGAAGGACTAACTTTCTCAGTCGGAGGCTGGACTGTGCACTGGAATCAAAGTCCCATTTCACTCCTTCATCCCAAACCTCTTCCCCCTGGTTCTCTCATTTTTGATGGACCAGAAGTCTCACACACATTAAAACACAAAACACACACAAAACCAAACACACACCCAAGCCAGAGAGCTCTGCTGGCAGTCAGAATGGCTGCCAAATTTCCCTTTTCAACAGAGACCTCAGTTCCATTCTCTACTGGCAGAGGCAGAAGGTGACGCAGAGAAGGAACAGGGAAGTATGGGAGGGCAGACACAAATGAGGGACACCGAGACCTGCACCCCAAGCAGCCGGAGTTCCACACTGACATCTTAGTCACTCTGTTAGTGATAGCTTTGGAGGCGCAAAGAAGGATGAGGAGCCTATTTCCAGAAGCCTCTAGAAGACTTATACTAAAAAATACCAGAACATTTACAGACGAGTACTGTGACGAGGTATTTCATCCTAAACATCTGTATAGCGTCTGAACCTAAGCTGGAAAGAAAAAGCTTTGATTCAACTACCCTTAGCAGAATGGAGTCAATGCAGAGGGGTCTTCAGAACAAGAGCCCAAGGAAGTACAGCCCAGAGCTGCCCCCTCGGCAAAGGGAGTGCATCCCCCTACAGTCAGAGGACGGGGGCGTGAATGAAGAGAAGGGTATCCGTGGGCAGCGATGGGCTATGCTCATGCAAGAAGTTGACGGCAAAGGGCTTGCTTTGTTCAGTCTGAAATCCCTTTTCGCATCCCCGTCCTCCTAGCAACTCATTTAAAAAGTGAGCTTCAGGAAGCATGATTCACTAGCCAGGAAAAACAGTTTCCTTTCTGGATAGCACCAAGGGAAAAGAGGTTTGAACCGGGAGCCACCTCTTCCCCAAGAATACAGGAAGGCAGGCAGTACGGGGGGGGGGGGGG